TTGCCACTGTGAGGGAAGATTAATGTCAAGAGACGTTTTTCTCCCAATAGACTATTGTTTCCATAAATAATAAAGTATTTCAGTATTTTGATCAGATCTTTCTTACCTTTTTGCCTTCTTGGTTACTAAACCATGTCAGCTTCCTGTTTCTTGTCTTTCCATATTTTAAAGCCTTTAAAGCCATTATGGCCATCAGTAATAGGGTGCCATTGCCAGATTAATAGCTAAGACCACATTATATGTGTAAGGAATCCTAATTAAAACCCTGGCTCATCTGTGTTCTGGCCATTCTTTGTTTAAATCTGAAATAATGAGGTCAGTAGTAAGGTTACACTCTCTGACTGCTCAGTGTGAGGCCAGCAGTCGAGGACGAGCAAGACTGCCCGGCAATTCAAGCAGGGCTGACATGTGGCCTTACAGCAATTTCATACCCCGCTGCGATCTGAATGCTATAGCCCCGTGCTGTGAGCACAGCCCTGAAGGAGGCTTTGGCAGTGGTCTGCCTATCAAAAACTACTTGAAGTGGCCATGTAAGTTTTACGTGTTCAGAGGGAAATTACGAGACATAAGGATAGCTGGGTATGCTGCTTAGATTAAGTCAGGGGTGGATGGGGGGAAAAAACGGGAAATGGCAATCACAGTTCCCATTATATTCTACTTTTGTGAAAGGAGTGTTTGTGTTGTGTTGTGTGTTATCAAATTCACTGTCACCAGCTTGCTGCTGGTCTTACAAGCAAGAAAAACTGTTTGCATGATGCATCCCTATAGCTGAACACTAAACCTGTGTTTTATGCCAACTCACCTAAAAATGAGGAGTTGATTAGTGATCAGTCTCTAATTTTAGTTGTTTTTTTACTCACTCACTGAAAAATCTTTCAATATGTCAACAACCTACAATGACAGCAGCATAAAGAGAATAAAATGATAATTACAGATATGAAACATTTCCACCTATTACAGTGCAGGTATGGTCAAGTTTCTCTAATATCCTGCTGTAGTTTATGTATTTGCTTGTGTTATTAGTTTCCACACTGGCAGTGTGTGTAGGAGAGAGGTGACTTCAAGGTGACTATGAAGTGCTGCTCAAAAGCAGACAGATGGTGCTTCTGTATCCAGAACATACCAGCAGGACCAACAACACACAGCAAATGTGCAAAATATTCCCGAAGTACATTAATAAGAAGAATCCAGGTAGAGAAGATATTTCATCACTGAATTGTGTGACCATGAAAAGAGACCGATAACAACACAGCCAAGGTGTAGATTGTGAACATGCCCTGAAATATTCTCCACATTCAGGGTACAGCAAGGAATTTTTAGACACACTTCACCTCATTTCAAAATCCCCTGAGACCAAAATATGTTTCATTATGCAGTCAGCTAGAGAAAGCTGGGAAGCTTCAGTGGACATATACATTCTTGCCTAGTAACCAGTCGCTTTGCATGACATGACCTGGTGAAAAAAAAAACTGTAGTTAAGTTATCAAATGCATTGGTTTTTACCTTAGGGGCCACATTCATACAGTTGCCACATTCCATTTTATTTTTTATTAATATGAAAGTTTTCCCACCATAGTCAAAAGCAGTTCTATAATCAATATGATTAAAAACAATGATTATTAAAGGAACTCACCTGCTGAAGCCTCGCTTGTGTTTACACTGGGACAAAATCATAGAAATATTTCACAGGCGGTGGGAAGATTATGAAAACCTTCAGTCTATGAAATGTTGATGGACTGAAAAAGACAATCAACCTTGGTAGCAACTGGAGGAGTCCTCTCAGCAGCTTCACTGATGTCTTCTTTATAATGGCAGTCTATAAGGAAACTGCTTTCTGTGTGATGTTTAAGAAAAACATTTTTAACCAGAATAATGCCCAATGGACCAAATGGGAAAATGGGAAACACCATCGGTTCACATAGAGAGAGATGGAAGTCAAATGAGCTTCATCATCCAAGCTGCCTTATCCAAGTTAGCTTATCCATGCCTTATCTTATTTTCTCCATATCCAAGAACCTAAACCAGCAAACTGAAGAAGATCCGCCTAGTGTTCACTACATTAATTGGCTAAAAAACCACGGTGTCTCTCAAGTCATCAGGTGGAGATCTTTTAAATCTTCCTCAAATCAGATCCAAGCATGTTTTCAGTTACTGTCTTCCTGTACTTTGGAACAAGCTTCCTGTTGACCTGAGATCAATTAAATCTGTGCACACATTCAAAAACAGACTCAAAACCTTTTTTCCCTGCACAGACTTACACTTAACAGCTGTGTTTTCTCTCCATGTTTTATTTTTGCCATTCTCACAGTCTTAGGCCATTGTAAACCTACACAGGTTCTTTAGTTTTTATCTTATGTGTTAAGCACATTGAGTTTATATATAATGAAAATATGCCATAGAAATATAATTGCCGTTGTCAAGGGTGATACACCTGGAGGCAAAATGAGGTCCTAAGTCAACTGATGGTCATCCTGGAATGAAGGAAAAGTACCCACAATGCCTTGTCCTAAGCCTTGTCCTATAAAGTTCACCCTGTTTGTAAGACCAAGAAGTGTTATATCAAAACAATCTGCAAGAGTGGAAGCTGCCCTACTGGATACTGAAAGACAAAGGAGCAGATCCGGAGCAGAAACTCTTTTCCACCAGAGATCGCTACAACTACTCACAGATCTTGTGGTGAATCTTGTAGCGGTCCCTGCACACAGAGCTAAAGGAGACTGCAGTGGGCAGCACATAAATGCAAAAGGCTAAAATACACAGACACAGCAGCAGAGGCAGAACAACGCAGCTGGTGTACTCAAGTGTTCCCTATAGAGGTGGGATGCAGCAGATTTGTGTGTGGCCACGTCAACAACCAGACTCCTGGAGAACATGGGGGTTCAAAGATGGGCTTAACTTACTGTACCATCAAGTCACTGTTACACCCTGCTGAGTGAAGAAGCAGCAGTACCTTTGGAAGAAGAGGAAAAAATTCTTAACTAGGCCAAAAGATATCCAACGTGAGGGGTAAAATCAGAGGGGGGCGTGCCCAGGATGCCAAGTATTAATGTAATGCTCTCTTGAAGTTTCGTAGGCTTATTGAGGAGAAACCCATGAAGGACAGTGCCTTTCTGATGACCCTGGTGGATTTTTTACCCCTCCCACCTTTACAACACAAGGCACGGGTGCTGATTATTCTTAGGGATGTAAACATCAAGTCTTATAAGCTTAACCAGAGCTATTTCCATATGGCTGCCAAGTTGCAAGACTTGCTTCTACAAGGACTTTGCTTAAGTCTAAATTTAATTAAAGCCATTAAACGCTGGAAAATTTAATTCAATGAAATTTAAAGGCGCAACACAGGAAAGAGGCAACAAACTAACCTTATTTGTGAGTCTGTGGGGACTGACTAGCCTGAAGCGGCTGTTAGAAGAATGGCAGTTCCTGGATTTTCTACATTGGCCCTTCCTTTTTCCTTTAAAGCCTTTTTCTAACATCCTTTTAAAGCTTTCATTGACAAACTTTGATAACAGAGCAAGCTGATGCTTTACGACTTTGAATTACATGTCTTCACTTAATGTGACAACAACTCAAGAAATGAGTTATGACCACTCAAGCGGCATCGGTACTGAAGCAGGAGTTAAACAATGGAAGCAGGATATGCCTGCTCATCTGGGATGTGATGAGATCAGCTCCAGATAAATGATACTTATGCACGGACCCTCCAACTATACACGGCAGGTGCACAAGCCAAAAAGGTACAAAAGCACAAGCTTAACCTTGATGAAAAAAATCAAGCTAATAAAGGTCTCTGAAACATATAAAGTAGCAGAAAATGATCAAATATAAACTTTTTACCCATGTTATGTGTTTTTGTCTCTGTCTGCAAACTACATCACATCCTGCTTAATGTAGCCTTGAGATAAAAGTGGGCTTCATCTATTCCCAGGATGTTTGATCACTGACTGTCTGCACTCTCGTCGCTATCTGTGACTTTAATATCAACATGCTTTGACTAAGTTGGATTTTCTTTTGCAGTCAGACGAGGGAAAACGTTTTGAGTGCTTTGCTACTTATGATTATGCCCTAACTTTGGTATAGTATAAAGCAGCGAGGATTATAGATATTTGGGAAAACAGCTCTAACACTGTTTAACCTCTCTTTAGAACACAGGGATCAAGGCTGAAATACAAATAAATCTAGCGAGGCAGGATGATCTTACAGAACGGATCAGAGTAGCATTACATATCGTATTAAGATGAGTCGTAACACGTCTCTATAAAAACGCAAACACACACATGGACTCAGTTCTATTTCTCCTGCTGCCTTCGCTGTGTGCGTCACAGTCCATCGTGAATGGTCTGCATCGGCTGAAGTGACAAGACAAGAGCCTTTCAGTTCTGATAAAGCTGCATGAAACCTGGTGGCAATGCAGATGACTCTGCAATTCAGCAGCTTTAATCTAAAACGACAGAAAGCCTTCCCTTAATTGTTCCTTTCCTTCCACGGCGCTCTGCGCTGCGTAATGGTTCCCCAATATTTCTTCCTAAAGGTGGCGGACAGAAAATCAAGCAAGCATTATGCTGCGGGAAATGAAAACTTCGGGTGACAGATTTGTGGCTGTTAAGTGAGTTATGACTCACAGCTCTTCCAACAAATTCACGGGTATAAGCTGAGTTGTGACTCATGGTGCATTTGGCTCCGATTTGATACCTTCTTCTAGAACATACACACAGCAAATTGCAGCAGCACACTGAATGCCATTAGACAGCAGATGCTGATTCGGTCCTTATTAAGATGCCAGATTTCTAAAAGCCACTCAGGAGCAGCAGTGACCTCTGACCTTGCTGTGGAATGGCAGAATGAGTGGTTCTCTGCATGGATTAATGTCACATTACCAGTGAGCTCGTCCCCCGAGGTACTTTGGTGTCCTATATCAGCGATTGTCTGGTGCATATGAGCCACAGAATAATTGACACCCACAAGTGTTCATTTTACAGTCATTATCTCCATGAGTGGAAGCATGATCTCCCATCTACCACTTCCTGTTTTCTTTTACTCACAACACAATATAAAATGACTATTTAAAATAGAAAGGGCTGCATAAACCAGATTTGTTTCCATCTTTAAACATGAAGTCACCTCACCAGCCAGCTGAATGTCAACGCTAATGAGTGCTGATTTTTCTCTAGCTATTATATTGAGTTGACAAGTGTTGACTGAAGTGTTGTTGATTCACTCATAGCGCTGATTTGGCTCTGAGGTGACTCCTCAAAACTATTCCAAAGCCTTAAATTAAGTCTGATGGCTGCCACTGAGAGCAGTTAATGGATTTGGAGGATTCTTGAAGGCACTCCTCGTCCTTGTCTAGCCCCTTTAACACTCACAGTAACATATGGAGATTTGCTCTCTCAACCAATTGCAGAGCAAATTGGCTTCAACACGCAGCCGGAACACCTCAGAGGACCGTGCCCTTCTTAAGTGATTTACTACCTTAAGCTTAGCTGTGCTGCTCCTGTAATTACAGCAAATTGAAACAAACCTGCGGATGAGGAAGCGGCTTGTCTGCTCAGCTGTTTGCAAGTGTGCTGGAGTGGACATGCAAAGCGGTGCTCATGTTGACACTGCAGCTTTATCAGCCCTATACCCTGCGTTACATGCCAATAAGGAGAATTGGTGTCATGACCTACAATGTTGATTTGGCACTTCAAGATAAGCAAAGCAGATCTACAGTGGGAGAAAATAATTATTTGATCCCCTTCTGAATTTCTAAGTTTGCAACTTACAAAAAAAAATAATAATAATAATAATACATTTTATTTATAGGCGCCTTTAAAGACCCTCAAGGTCACATTACATTAGTATCAATCAACAGATCATTACATGTTCAAAAGCAAAAAAAACCAATCAGTTAATCAATACTCCTGATGGCAGCTTGTTATGTGTATTAAGCACACCTGCCACAGAATCAATTTCTTCCATTCCAACCTCCCCACCAGAGAAAACGGAGCTCTCTGGCATCAAATTGATCTGCCATGTTTGGATTAGATTTAACATATTAATGATTGGTGATTTAACATATCACCTTACCATCTATCTCATTGTGATACCATATACTATCACTTCCTGTTAAAAGGGAGTTATTCTTTCCCACTATCGCCAGAGTACTTACTCATAGGGGGTCATATGATTGTTGGGTTTTTCTTTGTATGTGTAATTGTAGGGTCTACTTTACAATATAAAGCACTTTGAAGCGACTGTTGAAGTAATATGGCCCTGTATAAATAAAATTTGAATTGAATTGTTTTTCTGCTAAGGGTGCAAAATGACTTCAACAGATTGATGGACCAATGGGCACGGCCAAGTAAAATCTTTGACAAGAACCTTCCTCCTTCAGCTGAGCTGAAGCTTCAAGCTGCCAAACAGCAGCCAAAAAACTAAAAGACTTTTTGAAGTTGTCTAAAATCCTTCCTGAAATGTCTGCTAACCTGGTGACCAACTACAAGACACATCTTACCGCTGTCCTTGGCAACAAGGATTTCTTCACCAAGTGCTAAGTCATGTTTTGCTTTGGAATCAAACACTTATTTTATTGAATGATATGCAATGATATCAATTTTATGTCTTTTTTTCTCTGCATTTCTGCCTCTCTCCATAAACATGAAGAGAGTGTATTTCTTTGTAAGTGAGCAAACTTACAAATTCAACAAGGAATCTAATAATTATTTGTCCCAATGCATATCTTAGCCTATTAACTATAAAATTGCAAACACATTTAAAAACACACAAAAGAATACAGTGATTTGAAAATAACTGTGGACATTGAAAGAGTATTACAAACAGAAATCGTTCTCTAATGGAAATCACTGCATGGGCTCTGGAACACATCTGAAAAGCATTTTCTCTCAATGTAATTCACCCCTGACTCGTGCAAAATTCCCTGGGCTAAAACTAATTCAAGATGAACTGAGGCAAAGTGGAAAACTGTCTAGTGGACTAATCAGAATTTGAAATTATTTTCAAATCTCATGAATGCCCCCCGGAGCTAAAGGACGATTGTCTACGTGCAATCACTGCACTCAGTTCAAAAGCCAGAATTTGTTTTACTGGGAAGGTGCACCTAACTGGCTGCCACACCATTTCCAAGGAAACCCATTGTCTTGATTATTTAGGTAGAGGGTTAAATATGAAGTATTTCCATTTGAGAGGGTTGCACAGATTTCAAGACTGTAGCTCACACGTTCACTCAGTTCAGTATTTAGCAAAAAATGTACCAAAAAATGTGTAGGAAAAATATGCAAGGTGAATACATAAAGGATCGTCGGGTTTTAACGATAAATTGCTTAAAACATGAACAAACTGTGAAAGGCCCACCTTATTAACACTTGCTTGTTGAGTCACTCACTCGTTAGTTTAGCCTGATTAGTCACTTATCCATTTGCCCTTTTGTTTACCTACTTAATGGATGATTGAATTAGAATACAGTTGACTGATTGGCTTTTTAATGCATGCACTCCTTCTTTTGTTCTCCTTTACTGACTGATTGAGTGAGTGAGTGTGAAAGAGAGGTTAGAGATGTCTTTAAGTTTCATTTTCAAATTCATTCATTTATTTCATTGATTTATTCATTCTTAAGCTGATAAGAGAGCCAAATGCTTAAAGTGAATAAATGAGTGAATCAATCTGAATAACTGAGGTTGAATAAATTAGAAATCAATCAGTCAATCAGTGCCCTGTTGCATACATATGTCGGAGAGACTATGGCTAACTTGAATAGAGGAATAAGCAGACTTTATTTCTATTTCATTGTTTGGCTTATTAACACAATGAATAAGTGATTCAAGAGTGATAGTGTGCCTCACTTACTTATGTGTAGCACATACAGTGGGTTGACATACAAGTAAGATGTAGCTGGTTGAGTGAATTTGTCTGTTTAAGAAGCAGTTAAAACATGAATGAATGAATGAATGAAATAACCATAACCGTGACCATATCAGCTGAGCAAACGGATCCACTGATGAAATAATAAGTTAATCAAATCACGTTCACAAACACAGATCACACCTGTCCAGCAGGTCACCCCTCACCTTTTGCTCTTTGGGGTGTTCATCTTGTCCCTCTTGTTCATCACTACAGGCACGCAGCTCGTGAGCTCGGTCCAGTCTGCATGCAACCCGCAGCTCCAGCCCGTGGAGAACCGCGAGAAGAGCCACGATTCGGCTTTCCCGGGCCGGTGACAGGTGCATTTCCTCTGGCCGGCCAAGCAGTCGCAGGGCTGCTCCAGCTGGATGTTTTTGACCAGGTGCCGCCCAAACGTGGTCCCGCCGGTCTTCTGTATGTGCAGGAACACCATTACATCGTCCCCGCGGATGTTGAAGTCGACGCGCCGGTCCAGGTCCCGTTCCGTGAAGTTGAATCTGGATGTGATTTTGGAGGGGAGATCCTCGTCCGCCTCCGGCTCCGTGTAAACCAGCTCCAGCCCCGCAGAGTAGCGCTGGAAGAGCCCTTTCTCGTCACGTCTGAAGTAGCAGGTGTTGCTGTCCGCCGGGCACACATACTGATAGCCGATCATGAGGAAGAGCACCGCCGCAATGGGGATGAAGATGAGTCTATTGAACTTCTCCTCCATGGTGGAAAACTCCTAAATCACGCCGTCGGCACAAACGGTAGCGTGACGTCCGAGTGGGTCCTTTTCCTCCCCCCGTCTCATCCTGCACTTTGAGCTCAGGGTGATCGCCCGGAGTCTAAGTCCCGACGGAAGGTGAGAACTCTTCCTGCAGGGAAGCTTTGACCGGCCTCGTCCTGCACCAGGACAGCACCACTTCTCAAACTTAAGGCTGTCACTTTGAGTCCAGCTGCTTCCTCAGAGGTTCAAACATATTTAAGTGCTGGCATAACTCTCGTGCAGTAACAGCTCCCAAGCACTCAGAGCGGAACCACGCATCCCCGTCGCGGTCCTGCCAACTGCTGATCGGTATCTTAGCCGAGAGTAGAGCCAGGAGCAAGAGACAGACAATTAAGAGATAAACTTCCGCTCAAGACTTTCAAAATACATTGCTTTACCATATTAAACTAACATGAAACAATTGAGGTAAGGTCCAGTTAGACTACATTGCTTGACTATATGCAGTTAAAAAATAAAAGAAATATCAAGGCATCTTTATTAATGCTTTCTTGTATAATGTTGTTGGTGTTTCTTTCAGCTTGTTTGAACTCTGAATATTGCTTTTCTAAATCAATCAATAAATAAAACGTTTCACTGTATCATTTTGGTTTGAGGGTTATTCACACTGTCCCAGCAACAGTCCATCAAAACTACACTCAAACTACAAATTACTCATTACTCAGTCCAGACATACTAGCTAATGCATTTTAGACCTTGGGCCTGTTATAAGCTGTTGATCAGCCCAGATCATCCATCCCTATTCTTCAATAGCCCAGTTCTCCTTGCCTGTTATAGGTACTGATGTACTTAAATCACACATGGAGTGCCAATGAGTGAAATCACACGGAGTTCATGCTTTTATCTTGAAGTACAAATAGTGCAATTTCCTGTTTTATTGTCGCTGCCTTGTTTCAACATCTGCGCCAGTCATCTGTCCCGGCTGCCGTGTCGGTGACGCAACCGCATCTCTAATCACACACACTCACATACACACACACACACACACATGCGCTATTTGAGTGCCCTGGAAACAACTGCTGGCGGAAAGTCACAAGAATTAAATTAAAAATTGAATTATATTGAGACTTGAAGCGGAAATGATGTAAGCACGCAGGATAATAATTGTATTTTTCCCATTTGTTATAAAGGACAAATGTCCGTCCAGATTGCACGGTGACAAAATTAAATAGTAACTGTATGTTTATTCCACATGGTTTGTTTTTTAGTATTTTTAATAATTCTATTATGTTCATGAAAGGCTTGAGATTTGCTCTGTTGAGCCTCAATAAAGACACGTGTTACAGGTGGGCCTTTATTTTGGAGTGTGCAGTGTGACTTTGAAAATATGAACTGAGCTCCATGCAGGCAACAGGAAAGAATAAAGTCCTCAGGCCAGTCATTTCAGCACCATGGACAGATTCCAGCAGTCAATAATTGGCAACGTGTCTGAGGGGAAACACACGGTCTGACACAGGTCTCCCTGGATATCAACTGAGCTGAACACATGAGTCCAATAAAAGTTTTACAGTTACACAGCGCTGTATGCACACTACATGCTCTAACTAAGTCAAGCCCTCCATAATGGATTTCCTTTAAGCCTGCACTGATCAGAAGCCTTTGTTATTTTTCCCCAAGATGAAATCCATCAAAGGATTTAACCAGGGCTTACTTTGGTATATATTCTATTCAATCCTCTTTCAGCACTGAGTGCCCTCTGCCCTCTTGCTCTGGCACTGGCTTAAACTGTATGGGCGCTAAGTCTCCGGTTCCCCTGTCTTTGTCTCTGAGAAGAGTCAACATCCCTCACCCTAGGAGAAGGTAGGGGGCATGAAATGAATCTGTTATGGAAAGTGTCAGAACAAGAAATATCTCATTTTCTAAAGGTCACGCAAGAGTGAACTGCTGGACCTAAGGTTTGCTTCTGTCTCAGTGATGGTAACGTTGTGTGTCAGCCTGCTCTTTAATAGCGAGGCCTCTTTCACACATGATGCAGCAGGATTCATTTTATAAAAAGACACATTTTCTACCAATGGATTAAAAAGTCCTGATTAGAAAGGGCCTCCATTAATATTTTGTGCAGTGAGGCAAGACTTGTGTTGTTCTGCCTGTGCATGTGGGATATTTACGAGGTCCCTGACGCTCACTACACAAGCCTTATGAGAAATAACCCTTGGGAAGAGCTGATTCAGCTGATTGCAGCAAAGTACGGAGCTCCCAGTAATGGAACTAAAGCTTCTTGGAAATTATGATTGGATTGGGATTTCTGTTTATCTGTCTTCGTCTTTTTCATTTTCAGCGTGGCCTTGTTGTTGGCCCGCATGCGTGTGAGCATTTTATGTTTATTAGAATTAGTATTGATTTGAATACTGAGAATAATATACGAGAATACTCTTGCAGCGGGACCTCTGGTGAGCTGAGAGTTGTTGGGGCATTTGTAGTAAATGAGCAGCTTGAGATGCTATTAAGGAAAGCAAATGGAATGTAAAACTGCTGCACTAGAAAAATTGAGAAAATGTAAAGGGAAAAAAAGCACTGTGGGGTTTTAAAGAGGTGTGTTCAGCTGCTGATTCATTGTGTAGAGTATGAAAAATGTTTCCAAACTCAACAGCCTTGTACCATGAGGGCATAGTTGCCTCTTGCTGCAAGTTCTCAGGGCTATAGAATGGGGAAAAATGAGACTAAGAAAGTCAGGAGAATTATAAGGATGACTCGTGTTAACAATGCATAAAACTATTTACTATTACACTGGGTGCAAATATAAAATCAAAGTCGCTAAACTCATTTGGAGTGCACTAACATTCTGTTGGGCTTTGGGGCAAGCACCTGTTGTTTGGTTCCCACTGGCCCCGTACATGTCAGATTCATCATATCCCCCATGCAGACATCTATGAACAGTTTAGCACAACTGAACTGAAAAGAGCTGACAGAGAATTAAATCGGAAATTCTGACGATTAACAAAATGTCAAAATATGTGACTGTGGCGTGGCGTCTGGCCAGCTGCAGAGGAGGGGTGACACAGTGAGCTCCTGGGGCGGCGCAGGGGCGGGGTCGACAGGTGTGCTGGGTTCTGACATTGATTGCATGTCTTTTTATGTTGACAGTGACAGTCGGAGGGAGAGCGGACGTGACAGCACAAAGAGAGCAGGAGTGGCTGTGAATGAACCCACATCTCCAAATAAAAGTTTTGCTGTCAAAATAATCGCTCCAGCGTATGTTTATTGGGTCAAACGCTACAGTGACATTATGATAATCTCCTCTTTTGTGGTTCAGGAACAGTTTTTCTTTGTTGTTCAAGCTGTAAGTTTTTCTTTTCATTCTTGGACAACAAATTGCTTTTTGACTCATTTCCAGTCCTTCTAGCTGACCATTTCAGAGGAATGTTTTCTTGTTTTGTTTTGTTTTTGTTTAAGATCCCAAACTCAAGGGATGAACCACTGTCCATAACAGACAACTCAGGAAAGGCACAGTTTTAAATTCTTTCTTCGAATATCTTGTCACAAGCATCCTGTTAAAAAAAAACACATAAATTGCTCCCATTTATTTAGTAGAAATGGTTCTTATCAAAGAGAAATAGGATGAAAAATATGTCACATTATGCAAGAAATGGACTGAAAATCAGTTGCAACAGGTATTATAAAGTTATGGAAACAAATTTGAAACTTTTGGTTCATCATATATATGATAATTCATACATATTGATGTTCAGGAGAGAAGGACAACAGTGTCTGCAGACAGCTGTACAACATTGTGAAGGCTCTGTCGTGGTTGGATCTACATATCAGCCTGATGGAGTCATGAACACAAAAAAGTAGCATTAGATTTTGATCCAATAACCATGTGGAAAGTGATCATGATGATGAAGTGATAATTCCATATACACTGCCAGCTCAGTAAAAGCACACACACAATGAAACACTAGCCAGCGTAGACTGGTCTCCCCAGAGACTGGACCAAAGTGTTATTCAAGAACTGTGGGATCATCTTGACAGAGAATGGGATGAAAGCCAGCCAACAGCCCGAGTGCTTTGAAATGACCCTTAATAAGCTTTACTTACAGAAATGACAAGATAGCATCCCCAAGAGAGTTCAGGTTGTGTTGAAGAATAAAGTTGGTCATATGAAATGTTAACTTTATGTTTGAACATTTTTCAGTTGTTGCACCTATTTCCCATTTCATAATATAAATAAAATATGGGTGACTCAAATTATTTATGCAGTACTGTGATGGAGAATAATTACCAGATTTTGGAAAACATAAATAATTGTTGGTTGCACTTTTACAGCAGTCTTATGAGGGATGATTGCTAGTTTATACAAGGTTTTCTGTATTAACTACAGAGAAAAAAAATAATGATGAAGCAGTGATAAAACAAACTTGTTCTACTGAGCTCACTATGACAACATACAGCTAATAAAACTGGAGATTAATTCCACTGGACTGAGCAATAAGGTGGAAGACAGACAACTAGTCATGTTTAATATTCTTCTTAGTTTAAAAATATGAGGTGGTGTACATGTGGCTTTCTGGGGCCAGTTTAACTAAAATATGACAAATCTATTCATATCACCTTTTTTTTAATCTACAGGTTGTGGTTATAGGCGAAAAGCATCAAGCATGTCACCTGGAAAAACATACTAATTAGCCACCTGTTACCTGTACTGGATACCCAGATCTGTTCTGTAAAAATACATTCCTATACAACGGGTCCATTTTCAATAGCAGTCAGGCTGAATTAATTTTATTCCAGATTATATTTGTTCCTGACATGTCACAAATGCCTCAGCGATCAGAATATACTTGTCATTTATTTTCTTATTTTCCTGCTGTTGCTCCTTTTCAGGCAGCCATTCATATACAAGGTGGCGCCCTGTCATGGTAATACAAAATATAGAGAGAAGTTTCTAATGTGGCTTATCTATTTTAATTCAAGACATGATCATTTCACCAAGCAGTATGAATCATGGTAAAAATGAAAAGTTAAAAGACATCTTACTACGTGAAATAACTAATTCCTTCACCATCACACTAATCAAACTAATTGCATGTTTGTCGTTGTTGTTGTTTTTTAAAGATAAAAAAATCTCTTATCACAACCAAAAATACAATTTAGTTGTAAAGAACATAGGTTAGGATGCTGCTCACTAAGCAGCTGCTGATTACAAGCCTATGGTCTACTGACTTATCCCACTTCTTCCATGAGTTGTTACAGATGCTAAGAACACAGAAAAAAAGTAACAACATATTTCAAACCAACTGAAAATGTTTGTCCTTTTAAAAAACCCTGGCACTAAACAGGTTTTA